CCATTTACCATTTACCAAATGCTTAAACGTTACCATAAAAAAGTGAATCATGTTATACTGTGGTTTCCACGAGAAAAATTAATAGAATATGTCAGTAAACAAGCCAGATAAATTCAGTATGAACATTTTTCCTATTTTATTGTTTAAAAAACAACTAGGTTGCATTTGTTTCTCTCAAAATGTATTTGCTGTTACAAATTAGCTGTGTATAAATGTAACTTATACTTAGTGTTCAGATCTCTTGCACTCTTGCACTCTCTTACTGTTTCTTCCTGCTAACTGAAAACTGTTACAATATGTGTTTCCTCACAATGAATTTTTGACCTACCAGTTGTTTCTTATCAGACAAATCCAAAGGGGACTTCATGATTCACTGCAGTTTCCCCACAAGATCATTTCAGTTTCATCTTGCCAAACTAAACTTGTTTTCTCAACAGGGCAGTCGTATGTGCAGAGTGGAGGCTCAGAGATGGAAGCTCTTCATGAGGCCTACAGACAGATCCACATTGTGGAAGATTCAGATGACCATAATCGCCGTTATTCATCTCTGGAAGGGAGGGGGAGGATCCACAGACCTGTGTCTCCATCCTCCCCTCCACACACCAGACAGTCTCTCCAGCCTGCTTCCACCAATGAGTCAGGTCAGAAACTGTAAACAGTATTTTTGGGAATGTTGGACTCTTTCTGCCTGTATAAATCACTGGTTGAACTGTAAGAATGATGCATCTGCAAAAGCTGCGTCCCAGTTAAGTGTTTTACTCTTTGGAAGTCTGTATTCTGAATATGTCATAAGGACAAACAAAGTTTATGATACTTACACATTTTGTAAAGAAAATCTTTACAAATGAACTTTTATGATTTTTGAAGCATAAATGTCACCGCTAACATTGGCTATAAACAAACTACACCACGGTCACATGACTTCAGCATCAGCACCACTAAGGTTATAATTAAATCTTGTAATTAAAATCTACAAGTTGTACAGTTTGAGTTAGAATGGTTTACAGAGTGTGAGTATAAACACAATGAGGCTGTAAAGGCGGACTACTGAGTAGATCAGTCTCTGTGTTTTAATGTCACCAACACCCTCTGTAGTCTCATTTAGACACTTGTTAGCAACTAGCAGCATCTATTTTAAGACACAGAAAAGCTTCAGAATTCACCACATTATACAGATACAACCTACATATACATATATTTATATAGATAGATAGATAGATTGACACATTCACTGTGCTGTGATGATTACAGTGATGCCATGCTGAATTATTTTGTGTGTGCATCTAGAGCTACCCACTGCAGAAGAGTTGATGAGACCCATCCGGCCAGAGAAGGACCATATCAGAGGCTTCACCCTCCAGCCTGTCAGGTTAAGACTGTGAAGTCTGGAATTATCCACAATGATCACATCACAGAACATCAACAGGCTGTCAGTTAATTATGTTTGTCCACTGGTTGATCTGACTGTCACATGGATTTAACACAGTTGGGCACATTATGGATGTTACCACAGAGATCTGGCGTTGCTGATTAGCATTTCATTCATTATTTCAACTTTTATTTACAGTGTCATCCAATTGGAGTTTTGTTAACTTTCACATAGTCAACACCAAACAAAATAAAGTACATTTTATCATGCAAAGCTGCAGGTAATACAATATTAAAAGTATAAATGGTAAAAGAATAAACAAGACATGAAAGTCTACTGGGAAATTCATAAAACCCTCAAAATCTAAACCTGGATCACAACAGTAACAACTATATACGTTTTAGTGTGTTTTTCTCTTTGTTTTCTGATTACAGTGCTGTAGAACTTGACCAAGAAAAGAGATCCCTCTTCTTGGAAAGGACTTTCCCCGATGTCACTTCTCCACAGTCACAACCGAAGCGACCTGGGGAGGCTGACCCCGTTTCAGGCATAAAGGGAGCCAGGGAACTGTGCTCCCCAGACCCTCCCAACCATAACCTGACATGGAGCATCAGACAGGAAGTAGAGAGGCTGATGCAGGATCAGAACAAGTACACATCCTCACAGGCTGGCAAAGCTAAGAGAGTACCGGTGAGGAAAACTCTAAACTCTTCTTAAGACCAGTTAAAGCATCAGTTCTCCCAGAAAGAAAATTCACAATTTAACATTTATGTGGTAATAAAGCTAGTCATCTGTTGTCACTGAAACAAAGTGTGCTGTTGTTCTCCTCACCTAAATTTACTGTCAGGATAGCATAGAGAGAACAGCTTACTGCTTTATTCCACCATTCATGGCTGCATTGCAGCTGTGATGTGCCCGCTGGAGCATACAAACTATGAAAAAATTTACCAGGTCAACAAAATCTGGCAAATAAAACACTCTGATTCTGAAGCGCTCACAGTGGTAAATGATATAATAACATCCCAGAAACAACGTTATATAGCCATTACTGGTGGAATGAAGGCATTATGCTGCATTCACATGGATTCAGCTAGACGGTAGACAGCAAACCAGATGTCATCTTAGTGGAGGAGAGCATGGCGGTAAACTCCCCCAGACAAAGGGAACACATGGACAGTCTGGACAACAAGTTGCTAATAATTAATACATTACATAAAATAATATACAGAAATTAATTTAATTTAATGTTTTATTCCATTCTTTATAAACAATATGACATCACAATAGCAACATATTGCCATGCGTGTTTGGTTTTCCCGTACTCTCCAGATGTTTACTGTCTTTCTGAATCCCTGAATGTGACATTAATTAGAAAAAGTTTACAGACAAGATTATATTCAAAAGTAATTTGTTTATTTGAATTGTGCAGTGCATAAACAGTGCAAAGTTGTCCTTATTATCAAAATCACAAGATACAAACCTAATATTATACTAAAACGGCTAAATCACCTCCACCACACTCACTGTCAGGCGCATATTATGTTCCTTGTTTTTCACTACACTATTGTTTAACCATGATGAATTGTGGACATTTTATCTCTAGGCCTCCCGTGGCTCTGCTGTTTCTCATCCCTCCACAGTTTCAGTGAGGAAACCCACTGTGGCTCCTGTTAGAGACAGGAGAGCGGAGGGGAGAACAGCAGTGACTTCCAGGTCGTCGGGGCTGAGTAGAGCTGCTGTTCCTACAGCCAAAACCCAGTCCTCTGTTCCCCGTCAGTATCAACAAGAAAGAGCCAAATTAACAAAGAGCCAAGAAAAAGATGACTACACAGGTTGTTATTGACACTCGTACACAAAATATCAAGTCATTAAACTGTTTAGATAATTTAAGATAAGGGTCTGTAAATTGTGCCGTTACATAAATGCTGAATCTGGTGGTATCTTCATAATATGGGAGCATGGCGCACAGCTCATCAATGTGTAATGTTAGGAGCTGTGTTTTTGATATGTCTTTTATGTTTGTCTGATTAGCAGAGGCAGGTCTGAAGGTGAGCAGTGAGCTGGTGGCATCTGTTCAGTCCTTAGTGGCTGTCCTCCAACAGCAGATAGACACCAGCAGTCACCAGGACACTGCAGACACACAGGAAGTCAGAGGTCCTCACGAAACCAGACAGACACATCTTCCAAAGGACAGTGTAAGAAAACAACTTAACCCTGCGAAAAAGGTCTTCAGTATGCATTTGCAGCGTGTCCGTTGGGTCTTAAAAATCCAATTATCTGAATTCTAGGCAAAGCATTTTAGGAAGCATCAGTTGTCACTGTTTTCAGATGGGATACCAGTGAGGGATCATGTCAGTGTTGCCGTTGCTATGCTAATTAATGCTGCGTCTGAGTGGATGGAATGTGATGTGCATGTTAACAGTGACTTTTCTTCTATGACAGTTTGTCCTTTACAGTCTGTGTTCTGTTGGGTTGAGTTCAGTGTCGATGTCTGACTTGCAGAAGGAGGAGGGCAGCTCTCTGGTGGAGGAGCTCAGAGTCCAGCTGGCTCAGAAAGAGAGGGAGCTGCATGTGATGAAGGAAGGAGCAGAAGAGCTCAACTCACTCAGACAACAGAACTATGTACTACAGAGCAAGGTACACAGGAGAAACAAAACATTCATTCCATGCATTGTGACCATTTTTGTTGCACAGATTAACTGCCGACATTCACATTCTGTTTACTACACTGTGTTTGATTGAGACCGGGGCGGTTGGCTGTAGACTTTGGTTGCACCACTACACATTATTTTTGGACGACTGAGTTGGTACATTTTCAAACATTATGTATTCGTCAACAGTTAAAAGCACAACAGTGGGTAAGATAAAATAACAGTTAATAACATTAACTAATTTAGAGACTACTTTTATAGAACTTAGAAAGAAGGACACAGACTTAGAAAATAAAGGTCAGCAGTGATCCATCTGTACGTAGTAACTAATCTGTGTTTTCTTCACTCCTCAGCTGAGAAGTGCAGAAGAAGCCAGTCAGAAACATAGATGGGCTGAGGCTACCAACTCCACTACAGAGGAAAAGCTCAAAAACATAGATAAAGAAATAAAAGAGCAAGAGATGCTCATAAAAGGCTATCAGCAGGTTTGTTTCCCCTAATACTTATCTCTTAATGTGACTGTCTTTCTGTCATTTCTGCTCTTAATTTGTTTTTGGATATCCGCTGTAATTATCTTTTTTGTCAGAAATGTAGGCTTTGGAGAAATTGACTTACTTTTCACCACAGCTGTTATTCAGGTTGTGTTCCCAGCAACTTCTGGTTTGGATGGTACCACTGCCAAACTCATTTCCCAATGGGAAATTGACAGGAGATCATGTCAGGGTTCCCACACGTCCAGGAATACATGGAAAACCCCCAAAATTTGAAACTAGTTTTCCAAACTTGCAAGTGAAAAATGTCCTGTTGTGGTTGATAAATACAGCAACATCAGTGTTAATTGTTGCAACAAACACTTTCTACTTCTTTGAATAGGCTAAGCGGTGGGAATATGAATTTTATGTAAAATAAAATGAATTCTACTTAACTTGAAGTGATACTTATGGGCTGTCCTGTATTAGCCCTTTTTTTTTTACTGTATTGTCAAGAAAAATTGTCCTGGAAAATAATTTCTTAAAAAAACTGGGAACCCTGCATGTCCTCATTGCTGCATGAGCTTTTTAAATATTTCTACTATTGTAATATTGTGAGCTGATATTATTTTACAGGAGAATGAGAAGCTGTATTTGCAGATGAAGGCTCAGCAGGCCAAGAGTAAAGCCAACGAGGAGGCCATGTTTAATGAAAACCAGAGGCTGCTGAATGAGCTGGCTTTCACAAGGTGGGTTCAGTGTCTATCAGAGCTGTGACCTATTTGCGAATGTATTATTGCTTGTTTATGTCTTCTTAATATGAGACTTTATCACCAGTGTTTTTTCTGTTTGTATCCTCTGGCATTTTTCATCAGGGAGCAGATGAATAAAACCTCTCGGCCTGTGGGAAATGTCTGCCTAATGGATCACACTCAACGCATTACAGACCTGTTAGCTCAAATAAATGTATTTCAGGTAAGTACCACAATCACTAAAATACTGATAGATTAAAATTTTACATATACAAATTTCACTAGCTAATAATTGTTGAACTAGGGCACCAGCATCTCTAAAACAATGGGCACTATGGCCAACCTCTCAATTGACAAAACCAATCATTTTACCCAGCAGATAATCATTCAAACTGGACAGAAACAATATAAAACTTACCTAACAATCTCCAACACTGGTTTAGTTCAAATAAACTCTTAATTCAACAAGTTAGATGGGGAAAATAGTCCTAAATGAGGGTGCAATGGCTACTGCTAAGTGCTTGTTTTTGCCACTGACAGGCTCAGATTGTTATTCGTGTCTGACAACATTATGGAAAGGATCCCTACAGAGATGTTAGTTTAACCAGAAACAGACGTAATATCATTATCACTCTCCATCGTAGACTCCGTAGACAAAAACGGTAATTTTACCATGCATATGATTGTGACATGGTTTATTCAAAGTGGACAGACACAAAACATATACCTTTAAGTTGTGTTTCAGCCGCTCACTTACCACAGATATACTGTATGTTTCTGTATGCAGAGGAATGAGGCCAAGCTGTCTGAGGACATTCACAGACTGAAGCAAGAAAAGCAAGCTCTGGAGGTAGACCTACAGCTAATGAAGAAAGAAAGAGACCTAGCTAGGGCTCAGGCCATGTCTGCCTCAGGTAAAACGCCATACTGAACAGTGCTATTGGTGGAATTTAAAGACCTTTATAGGCATAAGTGATCTTTGGTCCGACTGACGGTGTGTATCCATTCTGAATGTGTCAGGTGACAAGACTTTTGAGATGCGCGTATTAGAGGACAAGCACAGAGAGGAAGTCGCGGCCCTGAAGAAGAAGGTGCAGTGGTTTGCTGAGAACCAGGAGCTGCTGGATAGAGACGCTGGCAGACTGAAGGCTGCTACAGCTGAAATACACCGACTCAAGGAGCAAGTAAGGCTCTGCATTCTAGTTATGTGCTACTTCTCATTTAATTGACCTTCACTGTCAATATAGTAATCTCTACAAAGTCCCCCCTGTCTTATGTCCTTGCGGTATCAATTCATAGCAGTTATGGTACAAAACACCACTGCCTTTGGTCATAATGATCAGCCCTACTTTTTTAAATTAGATATCCTTGCCTAGCTGAATACATTTTATGAAAAACTTCTTAAAGGTCCAGTGTGTAACATTGAGGATGATGGAATATTCATAGGAATGTTTTTATTAGTGTATAATCACCTGAAAATAAGAATCATTGTGGTTTTGTTACCTTACAATGAGCTGTTTTTATTTACAGAGGGAGCGGGTCCTCTTCTATGGAGTCCACCATGTTGAAGCACCATGTTTCTACAGTAGCCCAGCACAGACAAACCAAACACTGGCCTAGATAGGGCTTTAAAGTTTTTTGCAATTTTCTAGGGCTGCACAATGAATCAAAATATAATCGAAGTCGCATGCAAATTGCAGAAGCAGCTATTTTTTTGATAAAGGTAAAATGTGTGACAAAACAGCATAATCATTTGTTACTATAGTTCTAAAGAGATGCCCTGGTCTACAACTCTTGTTCTCCAGATTTAAGACGTTTGATACAGACCCTTAAATATTTGACATTTAATTTTGACTTTAATCATTTTTACAGTGAAAATTCAATTTGTGATGCAAAAATGATTGTTCCCACACCATTGTTCCTATCGCAAGAGCAATATCTGTCAAAATAATCCCTATTACCATATTGCGCAGCCCTACTAGTTTCGCTGCCTCCATAGTTTCTCCTACAGGCTCCTAAATGTTATATAAGTGACCTTAATCAAACTTGCCTCCCAACATTATGCTGGTCTAGACGCATCATCAGTGCCAGAAAGACAACAGTCAACTGTTCAACTACAGTGTTGGACATGTAAACATGAGTTCTGCTATTGTTTCTTTTTTTGGGATGCACTGATTGACAGCTGTTTTGACATTTTTTTGTTTCACATTATGTCTTTGTGTGATTTGTTTTTATTGAGGAAATTTAAAACTTCCATAGTACATAGTTCCCATTAGAAGCTACAGGTGTAGCTAGATCTGCCAAAACAGAATGCACAGCCTCAATTCTAAGCCTCAAGCCTAATGTTATGCAACCCTCCTGGATATATAAGAAGAAGGGTTTATATATATATATATTTGCAGTGGTATCAAAAGAGGTATACAGTATCTTTTTTTTGTTCTAGTATTGTATGAAAGTCTGAAATTCAGGAATCGTGACTGTCACTATAATACCCAACATCATAGCCCTCAGTTTACGTTTACAACTCTGCTGTCTAGGGGTTGTGGTTTTAAACTCAAAAATCCATAGTGTTTTTGAGATTTAATACAATATAATATAACAAAACAAAATATTACAATACTCAAGTGTATCAATATTTTCTAACAAAAATGTTTTTTAACACTGAACACTAAAGTGTAGTGTGCTTGTGGTTTGTAGGAACTAGTGCGCTAAAGAAAGCCAATTACAGTTTAATGTTTTTGAAATAACAGGTTGTCTCCTTCTCAGGTAGAAAAACTGAACATGGATGTGGGCAGAAGAAGCAGTGAGCAGCAGAGAAGGACCAAAGAGAAAACAGCAGACACTAAGAGGATGCAGGACCTGGAGCGACAGGTTTCTCAAACAGACAAACAAGCTAACTTATGAAACTCATTACACTCCCTCCCTTCCCCGTCCAGTTCATGTCCATTCACTTTCTCTCTTTACCAGGTGAAGGAGCTGGAGCAGATTCTAAGACGAAGAAACCCAAACTCCCTGCCCGCTCTGATCTACGCTGCAGCCACGGCTGGTGGTCAAGAGGATGTGGACGCTGCCAAGACGTCGCCACCCAGCAGGATCAGCGCCTTGCTTGAGCGCAGGATTCAGCGTCTGGAGGCTGAGCTGGAGAGTCACGATGAGGAGGCCAAGCGCAGCCTGCGGGCCATGGAACAACAGTTCCACAGGATCAAGGTACAACAGATTGTCAATAATGTACTCACTGCTGTATGTTGTAGTAACCCGTCAGTGTTCGTTCAACAGTTACAATGACATAGTCATATGAATATATTGCTCTCAAGGTTGTTTCCACCAGCAGGCAGCTGTTTGCAGTGAAACGCTCCAAAAACCCACTGTACACCACCTGCTCCACACCAAAGAGCTGACAGACACAGAGACTAGCTGGAGAACAGAGTGGAGCTTTTAACAGCTAAAGAGCCAGATGTTTACTGTTTGCTTACAAGTTCACCATATCAACTTAAAAGATGACTATGTTTGGTGCCAGGGTGGTCATAATGTCAGTCATATATATCAGTGTAAAGTGCAGAGAGGGGCTGCGAATTAGCTTCAGCTAGGCACCCAGTATACATTACATCGGTTGTGTTGCTTCTCCTCACATGTCGATCCCCGGCTCCTCCCGCCACATGTCGAAGTATCCTTGAGCAAGATACTGAACTCTGAATTGCTCCTGATGCTGTTCACGATCACATTTCACACAGCAGTTGCACAA